GACGTGTGTGTCTGTAGTTGTATAATAATGATGGTTGTTTAATTACCCGCATTTTTCTCCCCCCCCTTTTTTGGTTTTTGGGGGAATTCTGGGAATTGAAGTCCAGACATCAAGTTGCCAAGGCTGAGAAACACTGCTCTACACAAAACAGATTCTTGTGTTGTGTTGTGTTTTTGCTTGGTGTAGTATTGGGATTGGAGGTGGGGTTGTTAGGCTTCTTGTTATTTCAATATTTTCTTGATCGCTGTAAAAACAACATGTAAAAATTAGAAGCGTACCTGTGTTCCGATTTGCACATGAATCCAGACCGGGTGGGTTTTCCTAAAAATGTAGACTAAACGAAGCGTCTGTTTGGAACGAAAACCATAAGGATCTAGAAATCAGGCTGGAGAGGCTGAGGGGGAAATAGAAATGGATGCTTTCGCAAGACGGATTGCGACTTCTAAGGTTCAGACCTAACCAGAACATTTGCAGCTTTCCTTTTAAATAAACACTCTTAAATACTGCTCCCTTGCCACCCAGGTCTTCAGATCTGAACTCCAATCATGCAGGAAAAAGATAAGTTGGGGCTTTGGGTATGAGTTATTCCCTCACTTGGACTCTTAACATTAACGTTAGCTGGAGATCATTCTCCCTGGAGAGAATTTTGCAGGAAGAGTAAGTTCTGTAGTTGGCTTCTTCTGACCCCCAGCAACTCTTCCAAATTCAGCGACGTGGCCAGAGCGCCCTCTACTGCCACTAACAACGTTTGAGTGTGTGTAGAGCTGATGACAATGACCAAGACCGTGTAGAAATGCACGCCTGGATAAAGCCCCCTTGAGAACAAGGGGTCCCTAGGCTGCTGCTGTATTCCTGAGCAGCATCATAGCTTTCAGAAGAAGACCTCCTTCTCCAGCCCCTGCTGCCCAAGGAGAGCAGCTCCACCAGTCTGTGAGCCAGAATGAAGCACTGAATGCTTGTTGCTCTACAGTCAAGCCAAGAACCGGAACGGGCAGGAGCGGCGTAGTCAAGGCCGTGGAGCTGAAGGGAGGATTGCTGAGCTATTCATGGAGAATTGAGAAGCTCTGGATTCCAACCTATCAGTCTTTGATTCTGTGGTTCTGCTCAGGTTTTTACAGTTGGCTGTTCAAGCTCAACGTGCTTGCCGTGGGCCAGTCGTGTGGGGCACTTTCAAGATCAATTACTAAGCAAGTAGTCTCTGCGGAAGGGAGTTGTTGTGGTTGGTGAAGTGAAAATGGAGTGAGGAGGGGAAGGGAGGGAGGGCACACTACTTGTTTCCTTACTTGCCATTTTCTCTGGAGTAGTGAATGGAAGAGCCAGTTTGGTGTAGTGGTTCAGTGATGTGGTTAGGTGGTTAAGCCAGTTTGGTGTAGGGGTTAAAGCATCAGACTAGAAACCGGGAGAGCGTGAGTTCTAGTCCCACCTAGCCAGCTGGGTGACCTTGGGCCAGTCCCTTTCTCTCAGCCCTAGGAAGGAGGCAATGGCA